GTGCTAAGTCATCTCCATATTTACTGGTTTTTTAAAAATAAATATGTTTCTTTCCACTGAATGATTAATCTCAAAACAATGCTATGGAACAAAATCTAAAAAGAGCATATAATTAGAAAATGAGAAATCAGTGAAACAGGATGAATAATGAAAGACACTTTGTTGGGCCTATCAACTACAAATGTGCAATAATTCCAGCAGCAGGTTTTAAATTCATCATGAAGATGTGTTGGGACTAGATACTAGTTTAAGTTGCAATGCCACTGTAATTGGATAAGTTGAATTTACCTTATTGGATTTAAGTTTATTAAACCATATGCAATAACCTCACTATAGTCATTTCCTGATTCCTACTTTAGAATGGCATTCATTTATAGATTTTTCTTTCATTAAACAACTATCACTACTGTTCTGACCCAAACCTGGTTCCAAGAGAGCAAACACAAGACAAAGGCAGCAGCACAACCTTTTAATGTTTCAGCTAAGAATCCTGTTTCTTCACAGATAAAAGGCTGCTTCTGACAAGAAAGACCCTTGCCAGGTTTTCACAAGGCTGCCAAAAAACAACAGATAAGAAATAGTTTACCACACAAGAGTCTTCAAATACCAACTGTAATGTCCACGAGGCTGAGTTTAAAAATGTCTTTGCTTCCTACAAAGAACGTTCACTGCACAGCTGCCTTTTATCTTCTTGAAGGAGGGGCCATTACCTTGCAGCCTTACTCCCAAGTTGCCCGTGCTGTTGTAGCTGCTCTTTCCTATGAGCAATCCTGCACGCATGCGCAGTTGGCACAAGCTCCTCGGGAACCTCCTCATCGCTGCTGCCAGCCCCCACAATCTCTGAAGGGAGCAGTCCACTCCCTAATGGTCCTGGCCCCTCATCTGAGTCCTCGCTCTCCTCAGCTGTCTGCATCTGTTGCCGGCTAACCACAACAACTACCTTACATTTCCCACCATGAGAATAAAATTAGAATAACTTATTAGTGTTAATAGGTAACTTGTTTAAAATTGCCTCTTATGGTCCAAGTAATCTTTCACATACATATAAGAAGTCGACACATGGAAGCGTATACTTTATTTTTTGTGGTATTGACAGGCACAACTTATCCAATTACAAAGGCCATTTGTTGAGAACTGAAGCAATGAAAACCATCAAGAAAATCTTCACCTCTACCCACAGCTCTTTTTTGTTGAGAAGTATATGCAGCCCCATAAGATTTGTGGTTCAGTCCAGAGATTTCAAAGGTAACAGAAAAAGAAGAATGTAAATGAAATGAAATTTACTTTTTGTTTTTATTTCTCCTACTATTTTTTGACCCTATAAGTGGTTGCAGACACCTGCCATACATGCCTCTAAATATGCTGATAAAATATTCTTGGTACGTTTTTGTTAGAGATGCCACATTTCAAACAACAGCTATATAAAGGGAACAGATATAAAAATTCTACCTGTTATACTAAACACCATAAGTATATAAGGGTTGCCACTTTAAACATATATGAATTGGATTTTTAAGGAATGCTTTACAACAATATTTTGGATTTATTTTTAGATTTAAATATAACAAATAAACATCGATAAGTCTAGCACACAACAAGAAAGTAGTCTATTCTTTTTTCAACAGTAATGTCTAATGCACCCCCTAGTGTTTATTTTTTGATGCATATAGACAAGGCAAGAGGTTGCGATTCCATAGAGAAAAAGACATTAGAGTTTAATAAGCAAAGACCCACTAATACGATTAGATAAATAGTTTATAACAAAATCTGTGATGTTGATATGAATTAGAACAGCAGCCTATTCTTCGTTTAACCCGAAGAGAAGCCATTCATATTAGCGCTAAATATGATTTTCTAACAACCTATTTTTGCCATTGAGTTTAATACATATACATATACATGTTTTTAAATATTTTTAAATACATGTTATATGTGGTATTTTGTACTGATATAGTTATTACATACTATGTAGAACCTTTAAAAATCAGTTCATTGAGCTCCTTGTAGAAAGAGACTTTAAAAGTATGTATTAATCTTAGGAGAAAACATATTACAATATTCTTTAATTAGAAAACACTAAATTTCCATTTTATATATTAATTCGCATAGTTGGACTATAAACTATTAAAAGTTGTGATTCTGAATCTACTAACTTCGCCTTATTACAGAAATGGAAAACTTTATTGCTATTTCTAGTCTTCTTATAATCTGGATGTCTTCTTATAATCTATAATTAATTAAACTCTTTGAATGAGCTGCCACTTTTGTGGAGCTTCCTTTGAAGTGCCTTGTTCATAGACTTTTGTCACTAAAAACCTCCCTTAAATATGAAAAAGAGTTAATTCATTCTGTGGGTTTCCCATTCAAGTATCAGTTTTATATGATGCAGCTCTTGCCAAATACCACTTTATAGTTATTAAATAACTATAATTAAAGGGTTAGATACAGTACATAGTTTCTGTAGTGAACAGCAATAAAGATGATTAGGGGGCTGGACATTAAAACATATGATAGACAGTTGTAGGAACTAGGTATATCTAATCTAACGAAGGACTAGGGGTGACATGGTAGCAGCATGGTAGCTGTCTTCCAATAGTTGAGGGTTATCACAGAGAAAAGGGATCAACTTATACTCCAGAGCACCTGAGAATAGGACAATAAATAATGGATGGAAACTTATCAAGGAGCTAACTAAGTAGAAATTTCCTGTCAGTAAGAATTAATTAATGTGTAATTGCCTCCAGACCAGTGTGAGATTCAATTTTTTTTACTACTGGTTCTGTGGGTGTGGCTTGGTGGGTGTGGCAGGGGAAGGATACTGTAAAATCTCCAGTCAAAGATAGTATTTGCCGGTTCTCTGAACTACTCAAAATTTCTGCTACCAGTTCTTCAGAACTGGTCAGAACCTGCTGAATGCCACTTCTGCTCCAGACATTGTGGATCATTGAAGGTTTTTAAGAAGGGATTGTAGAGCCATTTTTCAGGAATGGTATAGGGCAGGAGTGTCAAACTTGCATCGTCACGGTGTTGTCGTGTTAACGTAGCACAACTTTTTCTCCCTTTGCTAAACTGGGCATGGCCAATGCATGATGCACCTGACCCAAGGCCACGAGTTGGACAGCCCTGGTATAGGGTCTTTTGCTTGAGCAGGAGGTTGAACTAGAACACCTCTAAGGTCCCTTCCAATTCTTATTCTGTTATTTCCAGGCCTACTTCAGGCCTACTTCAGCATGTGCCATCAAAAATATAGCCTGCATATAAAAGGATGTTAATACATTTCATAAAGATCTTTAAGTATCTGAGGAGTGGAAAAATTCCGAAAAAGCATTTACTTAATGAAAGAACATTTGAATATATAATACATGCTTGCCTGACAATTTAGAAGTGGTTATTTTCTGTGTAAATGAACTATTTGCTTCAATATGGACTGTGCTACAAGTATCTGCATAAGCATCCAGGTCATGGCTGTCCCAAAAGTACTTTTTCCAAAAGGCAACTTGACTTATTTTTTTAAATTAGCTTGAAAATGTTTCTCATCCAAGAAGCTTCTTCAGTTATAATTCTGGCTTCCATGTTTAATTTGACTAGATTTTTTCACAATGTATTTTTATTTATGGAGCCAAATGCTGCATTAAACCTTATAAAGGATATATAGACACTTATTTTTTGGCTATACATTTCACTTTAGAATGGCATTTAGTGAAACAATTGTGTATGCTGGATTGCCTAGATCTAAATCTGACTGTTCTGTTAATAAATTCCTCTCCACGTACAGTGGAGAGTGTGATTGGACACACAAGTGTGATTGGACACACAAGGAATTTGTCTTGGTGTAAATACTCTCAGTATACATAAAGAAAAGGTACAATCGTTAAGAATCAAGAATCATAACATACAACACTTAATGATAGTCATAGGGTACAATCAATAATCAAATCATACTAGGAAACAGTCAAGTGGGAGGGGATGGGTGATAAGGAGAGGTGAGATGATTAACAGTAATAGTAGTGTACACTTTGTAAATAGTTGAACAATGTTGAGGGAATTATTTCTTTAGTAGAGTGATGGCTTTCAGGGGAAAAACTGTTCTTGTGTCTAGTTGTTCTGGTGCGCAGTGCTCTATAGCGTCGTTTTGATGGAAGGAGTTGAAACAGTTTATGTCTGGGATGTGAGGGGTCTGTAAATATTTTCACAGCCCTATTTTTGACTTGTGCAGTATACAGGTCCTCGATTGCTTCCCTAAGTGCTATTAAAATTAGATTGTCAGTGGCCCTGCTGTTTTTTAAATAAATATTATTTAAAATATTTTTTAAATAGCAGGGCAGTAACTCTATTGAATTCTACTGTATAGTGCAATATTAATGCAATGTCAGGGGTTTTTAATTCAATGTATAGAATGTGAAGATTGTGTATTTAATTTCGTTGTACGAGGTACAATGACAATAAAGTAAACTAGAAAATAAGTAAGTTTGTAGTTTGCAACAAGCAGATTCAGACCTGGAATGAAAACCACAACCTTTACGTTTTAGCCTTGTAAAAGTATAACCCACTTTAGAATGGGTTGAGAATTAAAATAGCCGAAACGCAAGCAGCTGCCATAAATCTTATAGCCTGAAAATGCAGTCAGTAACTTGAGTCAATTGGTATATTCTGGAAAACAATATTTTGCTATATTTGTTAGCTTGATTTGTTAAAAAAAATAGAGCAAGCAAGGCGCTCGCCTCCGGCTGAGACCTTCCTCATACTGGCCCTCCTTCCCCGTTCCTCCTCCTCCTCCTCCAAAATGGGAATGGAGAGGAAGCACATGTCACTCAAACTCTATTCACAACAGTAGGTGGGACTCGAACCCTGAGGAACTGGACGATCAGCCAATAACAATCCAGTCTCGGGGCAAACGCACTCCTGGGCTTCCTCCGATTGGCTTACCGGAAGATGGGCGGGGAACGCGCCAAGTTTAACGTTAGAATTTCGGTCCCGCCAAGAAAGCCGCGCCGAGCAGAAGCCTGTTGCTGCCTCGCGATGCCGGCCGAGCTGGGCGTGCAGGAGAGCCCCGAGCTCCCCCAGGAAAAGACCCGCGCCGCCTCCAGCACTTCCCCATGTCACGAAGAGATCCAGTATCTCCAGCAAGTCGAGCAGATCCTGCGCTTCGGACACAAAAAAGAAGATCGGACCGGGACAGGGACGCTGTCCATCTTCGGGCTGCAGGCGCGGTACAACCTCCGAGGTGAAGTTCAGCCCCCCGCCCCACCTTCGGCTACGTCCGCCTGGGGCTTTCTTTTGAGGAATTCGGGGGTGGGCGGGAAACCGTTGCCGTTTCTGACGCTTTGGCGCTAGTCTTGGAGCCTCAGAAATGGTGAAATCGTCTAGTCCCTTCTCGGGAGACTTTAAAGGACACCGAATTCGCCTCGGAGGATAATGTAATACAGGGGGTCTCCAACCTTGGCGACTTTAAGCCTGGTGGACTTCAATTCCCAGAATTCCCCAGCCAGCAAGCTGGCTGGGGAATTCTGGGAGT